CACTATTGAGCTTCTAGTCCATTCCAATACGGATTTGTTCACCCCTTGCTACTCTTCACATAAAGTTGGAAACACAAAATGACGCTCACTTATAGCTTTACCTGAAATTATTTGAGGTAGTAATCTGTATCAGACAATTCAGCTACCCACTTCCAGCACTTTTTTTGGCCCATGGGGAAGTCAGACTGGCACAGCTAATGATTTTAGGAGCTCTTTTCATATTACCTGTAGAGAACAAAACTTATCAGGAAGCTCCCCAATGTATTATACTGGTAGGACATCCTCCGGGTTGTATGAAAAACTATCTCATTGTATTAGCTCCTAGCATGGATAAGCCAGATCAGCTCCATTCACATGTATTAGAGCCCATTTCAGTTGGTGATAGGCAATTTATGCATCTTCCCTGAGAAGCAACTATCAGCCCAACACTGTTCTTGAATTGAAACCTCATGGTCTGATGCTTATTTTGGCAGAGAAGTCCAGCAATAATTAATGAAATCTTCACACTAACCTGCTGACACTCAAACTGCAGTGTTGTAAATCACCAGAAATGACATCTTTATGAAAAACAATTTCAAGAAGAAAATAAGTTATCAACAGTTTTGTAGTGTTTGTATGGGGTTCTGGATCTGCTGTCAACATTTATTGTACTATTCTCTTTCTTCCCATGCTATTGCTACCCGCCTGCTAGGGATCTTCAGCAAAGACAAGACTTGTGGTTCCAGAGGCAAATAAATTGATTTATTTTTTTTTTAAATGTAATACAGAACATGGAGACTACTCTTACTGACTATAAAGAAGCAGGGAAAAAAAAGAAATCTTGCACATGATCTCATGATTACTGTGAACATCAGTATTATGGAATTTGCGTTAATTATAGTCTGTTATCCTTAGTAAATATTGTGCAATATATAAACTTTATATGGTCAGAATGTCTATTCCTGTCTTTTGCCTGCCTTTGCAACAGCAACAGCAAAAATGAAAACCTGGAGTCTTTCCCTATTTCTTCTCTTTGTAGTTCCTTAATAAGAAAAGATGGAATCTCTCTCTTACGTATGCAACCCTGAATTGCCAGTTGAGGAAAAGCAGCTGCTACAAATTCTGGAGGATAGTTTCCAGGGCCTGGAAGTGCATACGGTATGCTACATTGTGGACAGAAGAATGCTGCTGTTTGGTAAAGGATAGCACAGAAAAGAGCAGGCAGAAAAGTGCTGCTCTCTTTTCCTCCCTCCTTCCATCATTTTCCTATTCATCTTTCTTCTGTTTTCTTCCTCTGTTCTCATTATATTTCTTCGTGTTACCTCTGCTTCATTCTTCACATCTTTATGCCATCTGTGGCAAAGGCATGATTAGTGCTCATCATCTTCTTGTCCTTTCTTTGCCCTTTCTCTTTTTCTTGCAAATTGTCTCTTCTCACTCATCAATTCTCATCAGTGCCCCCCACTAGAGTTTGCGGGGACTGATGCAGGACTAGTTTGGAAGTCTTCACAGTAACAGCTGCAGCACCTGTATTTACTGCCTGTGGAACAGATTGGCTCAGTGGTTTCTTCAGCCATTTATTCTGTAATTTTTATTTGTATTTGTTTGAACACAATATTTTTTTGCTATTATTTTGTTCTTCCTACGAGTGCTAGCACAAAGCATAGCATGAGTTTTCAGTTCTTTCAGTCTCAGTTCTAGTAATATAGCATCCCAGGTCCTGGCTTGCAAGCCTTGTCCTAACTCTAAATCACTGCCTCCTTTGTCCTTAATCCTGAATTTAATTCTAGTCCATTTGTCTCTGGTATCTCCAGATACCTAGCCCTAAATGTAGGGTCCCTCTGGCATGGATCCTAGTTGTCAGACTAGTCATAACCCTAGAAACTGTCAATCCTGCCCCAGTGACCCCTTCCATCTCCAGACTGTAAAATAGCCAGACAGATGGAATATATTGTTTCATGCTGAGTAAGAAATTATGAATAAAAGAAGTATTTTCACAGACTCACAGAATGGTTGAGGGTGGAAGGTGCCTCTGGAGGTCACCTTGCCCAACCCACCTGATCAAGCAGGGTCACTTACAGCAGGCTCCGCAGGACCATGTCCAGACAGCTTTTGAATATATCCAAGGATGGAGATATTTCAGGTAAAGAAGTTTTCATTCTGAATTATGAAGGAAAAGAATAGAAAGTAGGAAAATTAATTCAGCGCAACTCTTCTCTAGTCCCCATTGCTCTCCTTTTCTGCTTTCCAACCTTCTGCACACCTGCCTTTCTCTTTTTGCTCTGAGAAGAGATCAGATTTTTGGGTGGCAAGACTGTATTTTCAAATATGGTATCTATTGTCCTGTTTTGCTTTATTATTGTTTATATCATGCTAGTTTGCAGAGGCCCCACTGAAATTCCTTTTTGTGGTGTTAAATGCTATATAAGCACACGGGAAGATGGGCTCTGTTCCACAGAACTAGCAATCTGATTTTCTTGTCCATATCTCTCATTCTGTTGGAATAATGACACTATAAACTATTTTCTTATTCATTATTCTTTGCTTTCCCTGCCTACCGTTCCTTATCATAATTCATGGCTATATTTTCATGCTGCTTAAATTTGTTTACATTTTTAAGGGATTTTTTTTTTAAGTTAAATAAAAGGTACTTGGTGCTTGCTTTAATCTTTGCATCAGTCTGACAGAAAAAAAAAAAAGCTTTTCTTCTCTGTAACTTTCTTCTTTTCTTCTCTCTAAGCCTATGTGAATGTCCCAGAACAGAGTTTCTCAAACAATAAGCTAAGGCAGAAGGCAAAAACAGAAGAGATCCTGAGAAGTCATTCAAGCATGGTAATTCAAAGTTTGGAAAGATCTTGTAAAGTATTTGCTAGATGGCTTGTATAATTGCTGTTACAGAAAGAACATTTTGTAAATACTGTATATGGCCATGAGATGGCATATGCAGCCTTGAAAGGAGCTCTGAAACTTTGCTGAAATCTGTCCCAGTGGCATTTCTGCATATTAGAAAGCTCCACAAAGGGCTTGGACTACTGGGAGTAATTCCCAGACAGGAGTTTGAAGCATCTATGAGAGATGTCCTCATGTGAGAAATATTTAGATATGTCTGATCTTTTCTAGATGAGTGAGGAAAGGCACAGATACATTGGGCACAAATCCGTGTCCAGGACAGAGCACGGAAGGGAAAAATACCAGTCACGCTGTGCGATTCTGTCATTGCAGTGGCTTAGGAATGGTCAAATTTCAATGGAATTTTTAAAAAGTGTAGAAGTCTTAAAGATAATTAAGCATTTATGATTTTTATAGAAAAGTGGCTTAACCTAAATTAGGACACCTCTCTTCCCTCTCCTCCTACCCACAAAGAAAAGAGACATTTCTCAGCTTTTCTAGGGTTCATTTAGCATCAGTCAACAGGGCAGTCAGCATAGACTGCTGACAAGTTTGTCAGCATATATATAGCTTGAGCCTAGTCACTGCACATATTACCTTTTGCCTGGCCTTGGTGTCATAGGGAGCCTGGGGAAGCTGGGTTTACTGCAGTATGGAAGAAAGAGGTTGGAAGACACAAGTCCAAAGGATACCTGGCCTCACAGGTTCCACTGTTTATGAAATTACTTGTATTTCTGATTTCACTGGCTTTGAATATTAGCCAGCTACAAATGTTAGATTTCACAGTGTAATCTTTTTTGCCAAAGTATATTTGTTTCTTAAAAAACATAAAAACAGAATCATAATATATATAAAAATACATATTTTTATTAATATGTATTACATAGAATCATAGAATCATAGAATCATTAAGGTTGCAAAAGACCTCTAAGATCAAGTCCAACCGTCAACCCAACACCACCATGTCCACTAAACCATGTCCCTAAGC